TTTGAGAATATAAAGCTGACAAAAGGAAATTTGGTACAAGCAATGAGGAAGAGTAGACAATGGAGAATCATAGTTGTCGACCTTCGGAAAAGGAGACATCACGATTGATTGAAAACAAACGTGAAAATGTAATATTTACATTTAAATAGTTGAGAAGTATTCTATCAACGACAAAAATAGGGAAATGATTTTTAGATAGAACTGTTTTATATTATATAATTATTTATGTAAAACCTCATACACGTTAGATATTGTATAAGCACGATGAAACAGTATTTTGGCTGAATTTTCCTTAAACATATTCGGAATAAAACCTGTAAAATCTAAGTAGAAGCCTGTGAATAATTTCATGGTACACTTCACATTTGAAGTTACCATTATTATAACTAATTAATGTTTACAAAAATGAAAGTTTATGGTTTTACTAATATTTTACAGTGAACGTTATAATACGTTTACTGGTCAAATTTTGAAGAAATTGAGTTAGAGTTATTAATAATGGTAAACTTGTCATCAAAATACCCACAGTGGAGAGGTTTCAACTGGTGTGAGCAATTTAACCATAGTTTTCAAGAAAAATAGAAAATATATATTAGCATAGATGGCGCCAGTCTCGAACCTATAGAAATCCCGTCGATCTATCTTAATAAAGCTTTCCATTCAGAAGAAAGTGAGTGTCTTTAGTGGCGACGTTAATTAATTTCAGGAAAACTGATTTAGAAATATTCACATTGTTGAAAACAGATTAGCTTTAACTTACATTTTAATGGTTTATTCGCGTATGGTGATTCTACATCAAGACTGGTCCAATTACTAATGGTTTAGTTTGGTTTGATTTGTTTGGAATTAAGCACAAAGCTACACAATGGGCTATCTGTGCTCTGCCCACCACAGGTATCGAAACCAGGTTTCTAGCGTTGGAAGTCCGCAGACGTACCGCTGTGCCACTGGGGGGCTACTAATGGTTTATTCATGGATATTGATTCTACATCAAGACTGGTCCAATTACTATCAAACTTAAACTTTTATATTTCATGAGATAATTTCATTGATTGTTAAATCTCTTCAGGAATTCAATTGAAAACTACATTAAGCATGGCTATAAGTTCCAATGTTAGAAATTGTAGGTTTCAATGGGCATTCTTCTTCGTGAATTTTAGGTAGTCTATAAGAAATTTGTGGTTGACTACTTGATGGCCTAATGTTCAAACTGTGCCTTTCATTCTACAAAAGGAAAAATAGTTAAAATACGAGTGAAAGAATATACTAACCTAAGATCCGTCATTAAGTTAAGTGTACTTGAAAATGCCAACAGAAAATGTGATATCCATTTTAACTGGTTTAAGGTCTTAAGAATATCCAACGATGTAAAAAGCCTCCAAATAAAAGAGAGCTTGCTCCTTCACAAGGTAAGGCCCGAGATTAATGTTATGTACATAAGTGAAACTTAAATATCAGAAGCTTTTGCCTCCCCCCCCCCACCCCCACCCCAATGGCACAGCTACAAGTTTTAAGGCTTATAACCCTAAAAAACCGGATTTCGATATTCGTGTTGGGTACGGCATAGATTGCCCATTGTGTAACCGAGCTTAACTAGAAACAAACAAGACAAAATCTTTCAAACAGTCATAAAATGAATCAGATTATTCATCAAGAAATTAAGAAACTGTTATTTTGTAGACACCTAAACACTAAAACAGATATTAAACAATTTGTATAATAAAATTGCTTTAAGTAGCATGTAAGTAAATCAACAATTCTATTACTATAGGTTACATTGATTGTAAAGAGGCGATCAAATCAGCACTATATGATGTTACGACAGCGGAAGTCACGTGATGAGTGTCTAGAAGATTCGCGAAGACGCTAGCGTTTGCTAGACATGCGCTCTTACAGTATATAAGACCGGCGACAAATGACGGCATGGATATAGATAATTGAATAGCCGACAGGGAAATAGAGACAGATAATCGAGTCAAGCTGTAAGTAAAGTGCGTGAATCGTTGTGAATTATAGCGTCTGTTGAAGTTAAAGTGACTGTGGAAATTAAGTGTATTGCAAAGTCGAATTGAGAAAGAATAAACCAGTTTTATTTGAGAAAAGGCTTGTATCGCTGAAGTTTCTCGGAAAGAATTTCTACGAAAAATTAACAAACGACCAGTGACGTAACAATAACAATAATGAAATTAATACAAATTAAAACGTTTACAATAGAATTAAACAAAAAAGTTTACATTACCACTCCTTGTCATTAACCAATAACAGAAAATGTCTATAGTCATAGCTCTCAAAAGCGTTAGGGATATTCCATCTATAAGAAATGATCCAAACGCAGCTGCTGAACTAGTCAGCAGCTATGAAGAATCACTTAAGTGTTAGGAGTTGAGTACTTGAACCTGCAACGTCTCAACTCCTAGTGTCCGCAGCCAGTTATGGGAAGGCAGTTACCCTTAGTATTTAGATATAAAAATAACCTTATAGTAGAAATATGCCACCCTAAATTTTATGTTTGTAAAACTCCCAACCTTCGCCACTTTAATAATTATTACAAAGCGATGTTAAATAGAACTAAAAACATTTACTTTAATAGTTCTGTAATAATTACTTAAACTTCCATCCTTCTCTTGAATAAACTTATTCAAGTATAAACTACATAAGCTGATACAAACCTAATTACCTGAAGTTAATCATTCCACCTCCGTATACTGAACAAGTACCTAAATAAATTATGGTTAGTTACTTATAAACTAAATAAGACCTTGAGTAACTAACGACCTCTTTATGTTCTCCAAAAGATAATTTCTGTGATCCAGAGTTTATTTTTGATATACTTTCCTGTTTATTATAAAAGAGTGTGAATTTTTTCTTATTTGACAGTCTTTATAACAAATATTTTTTTTTAATTTATATGTCAATAAATGGACATTATCCATAAAGAATTACTATTGTTACAAATTGTCAAAGATATTTTTGATTGAGAAATAATAGTTGTTTTTTTTAATAATTTAAACGGAACTGTACAATTAGGAGTGGGTAGATCAAGGATGGGAAAACCAAATCCTTTATTTTGTAAAAAATAGGCAACTGTGTTCTTCCTTCCGTGAAAATAATATCTAAATCTAAGTAATGTGCATGATTTTTATTGAACTATTATTGTTTCTTTCTTATATAAGTTCTTTTAGATATATTTCATTTGAATTAAAATATAAATTATCAGTAGAGATTAAATCACCTATATAACTTATATTAGGGGTTATAAGATGTTTCAATAATACATATTCATAGAATTACAGATACAAGTTAGCCATGTTTCATGAGAAATAGCCCCCAGTGGACTTACAACACTAGAATCCG